TGTCTTATTTATTTGTCCTACTTATTTTAAAATTGTTTTGTGTATTTATTTATGAAAATATTTTTGAGTACATAACTTTATAGGGAACAGTGCATAATTTGATACATGTATACAGTGGGTAATGATTGAATCAGGGTAATTAACATATATCTCTCTCCTTAAATATTTAAAAAAATTTCTTTGTTAACATGTAATAATTGTGCATGTATGGGGCACACTGGGATATTTCAATGTATCTATATAGTGCATTAATCAAACTAGGGTAATTAATGTTTCCATCTCTTTGTTACCTTATGTTTGGCGCATCTGAACTCTTGTTTAATTCCTCACAGAATATATAATAGGTTCTTCTGAATTGCAGTCACCTGATCATGTTACAGAGCACAGCCTTTATTGCTTCACCTGGGCTTTGGTGCCTGCTGTCCAACCTCCCTCCAACCTCCTTCCCCTTCCCCTTCCCCTTCTCACCCTCCTGTAATCACTGTCACGAGTTCCAAACAACTTTTTAACCCCTGCATTTGAGAGAGCATGCGGTATTTGTTTTCTGTGTCTGAATTATTTCAGTTAACAGAACGAACTCTGGTTTCATCCATTTTGCTGCTGCAAATGATAGGTTATCACTCTTTTTATGACTGAATAGTATTTCATATATATCACTTTGAAAATCCACTTATCGATTGATGAGTATCTAGATTGACTCTACATCTTAGCTACTGGGACTCATGCAGCAGTAAATATGGACTGCAGTTGTCTTTTTGATATGCTTACATCATTTTCTTTGGGTATTTCAGAGCTTTGCAAAACCCACATGCCTGTATCATTTCCTAGGTATCTCTTAAGTTTCTGACTGGTCTCTTGGTTTTTCAAGAGTATTGTAGTCTCAGACATCTGTGATTTAACCTTTCCTAGGTTATCTACTAAGCCCAATGAACTTTCCTAAATTTCTGAAGTGACATAAGCTCTTCAAAAATCTTAAGACTTTTAGGGTCATAATTCTGACAGGAACACAGATAAGGGCAAGCAGCCATACAAAGGAATTGAAGTTTTCATGCATTACCAATGGAAACCAAGATGGTACATGACTTTAAAAATAGTATTTGGAAATGTTCTATAATGTTAAACATGAATTTACCATGTGACCCCACAATTCCACTTCAATGTATTCAAATGCAGGCCTATGTTCACACACAGACCTGTATGAAACTATTCAAAGCAAATTTAACTGTAATCAGTAAAAACTATCAGTAAACAATCAGTAAAAACTAGCAGACCAATATAACGAACACTAGTCAGCAACAAGAAACAGCCTACTGATAGGTGAAACAAGTGGATAAATCCTGTATATGCCTTAAGGTAGGTGAAAGAAACCAGACACAAGATGTGAAGTACTGTATGATTTCATTTATATGAAGCAAAAGTAATATCAACAAAATCAGTAGACTGTAGGAGCCAATTGTGGCAGAATGGTTTGATCACAAATAAACACATGAAGTGTTTGGGCCGCTGGGACTGTTCATTATTTTGCACGTGGCAGTGCTTATACCATCATACACATTTGTCCAAACTCAGAACCGTAAATGCAGATTTTTCCTGTATGCACACTATCAACTGAGAAAGCAAAGAACCCCAAACCAAAAGCCACCAGCAGATACAAATTAAGGTAGGTCCCACAGGCATTTTAATTGTTTTTCCATTAAGTTCATAGAGTAAGAACGTGTGATTGCCTGAATAGAGGGCATAGGGAGCGTAATCCCCTGAGCTCTTTACATCTCTAAAACTCCCTCCTGGCTCTCCGTCCTTGGTCTTTAAACTCCGTACCCAATTTTTTGGCATCATTTTGGCAGGACGGAGACGTGTCCAGAGGAGGAGTTCTTAGAACACATGAGAGTCTTCACCAAACAGGATTTTCTGTGAGGCTATGAGCACCAAGGAAAACACCCCATCATGAAAACTACACTGAATGTGGTTGGCACGATCACTCTTTACCAGTTGTGTTGTAGAGTTTCTTGTATTTACTCTTCACAGACACATTCCTGTGAAATATACAGGCCTGTTTGTGACATTATATTTATTTCACAACTTAAAAAAACTGAGGTTTGAATAAGGTAAGTAGCAATTAGCAGAGCACTTTTTGCCTCGTTCCTAAAAGAGAGCTTCGTGAAGAGAATTTACACCTCACTCCCTGAGAGAGCTTATGGTTATTAAAACTTCAGGATTTCCAGCACCTTTATTCAAGGAGTGAGGTAAGCTTTTATGTCCCAAACTTCTTTTTTTTTCGGTGAGAATTGTAATACATGTAAAAGCAATAGGGAGATTGGCATTATGAATTGTATGAGCTCAGGAAATGATTCTGGGAGCATTTTTTGAAACAGATGAAATTCCCAATGGCAAAATACTTCCCTTGGTAGGAAGTTCAGGGATAATTATGAATTACTCAGCTGTATTCCAAGAGAAGATGGGAAAGATCATAAGATAGATGATGCTTTTATTGACTACGTGATATTTCGTCCTGTGTATGTTCTTCCTTTGCAATTGTGAAAGAAACTAATGAAAATAGTTGGAACTTCCTATGAATTCATTCAGTCACATCTTTTTTCAGTATCCTGACTCTGTGATCTATCTCACCCTTTTCATTACATCTGGAAAAGCTGACAGAACACTTGTTTGTAGAATATCTTATAAAATCAATCATATCTGCACAGAAATTCTGACTCTGCTTCGTATGAAACAGATAATTTATGTTGTGAAAACTAAGTGAAATATACATATTAAATCTAATTCTCACGAATGTCCATAGAACACTGCATGTGTTATAAACTGTTTTAGGTATGTCAGAAATTTGTGCACATAGTATTCATAGAGAAGAGAATGTAAAATGAGTTTGAAATATAACCAGAAGGAAGATTAGATAGAAATGCAGGTAGAGAATAGATATTGTACAAAGTCTTTGAATTCAATCTTTCTGAGTACTGGGGATTGAACCCAGGGCCACTGGGCTATGAGTACATTGAACTATAGTACACGCTCAATGGTTATTTATCTTTTTATTTTGAGACACTCTCTCACAAAGCCACCAAATTGTCCAGGCTGGACTCAAACTTGCTATCCTCCTGCCTCAGCCTCCCAGAGTGCTGAGATTAAAGGTCTGCACCACTGCCCCCAGCTTTCCAAGTTTAACTTTAAAATATAAACGTGGAACCACCAATCCTGTGAATTTTCAACTCTCCTTTCTGTCACTCAGCGAAAGAGTGAGAGTAATGTGCATAAGAATGAAATTTAGAGGGCCTGGGATTTAGCTCAATGGTTCTGCCTGCTGCTTCGCAAGCGCAAGGTCCCTGGTACAAAAAAAAAAAAAAAAAAAAAAGAAAGAGATTTAGAGAAGGAAACTCTTCCACTTATGGATTGGAAGCAAATTTAAGCAAAAGTCAGGCTGAAAGCTTCTAAAGCTGTGGCTGGTGGACAGAGCCCTCTCTGTTGGAAGGCAAGCCGAGTGGCCTGGCCAAGGTTTGACAAACGATCAGCGTGCACACAACAGCAAAGATCACAGTAAGTGTACAAAAGGCAGATGCCAGACGCAAACTTTCACCTTTCCATAAAAAACCGTTTGTATCATTGAAAGCTCTGTCATTGTGTTTTTCTTTTAAGACTAAAGATGTTAATGCATGAGTTGTTTTTTTCTACACTAAAACCTCAGTATTCAGGTTTAATTGCAGTGTTGGCGCTTTGCGATACATAAGTGGGTTTGGGGTTTCAGTTTGAGCACTCGGTGTCTAAAAGGTTTGACGTCACTGTTCTAGGTTCTCACACAAGTGGCTGATGCCCCACTGAAAGGTAGAGAAATGACAGAGTACCTCTAGCAAGTGGGGAAGATAAAATCAGGACTACGCCTTCCAGACTTCAAGTTGAGCTAGGTGTTGAAGTGCAGCAACTTACCATTCAGCTTCCACTGCTGGGCAGAGCCCATTACCCCCTCTTAATCCTTCCACAGAAAGCACTCACCAGAGTGTGCTGAGCACCTACGTGTGCTTTTTTTGTTTTTTGGTACCAGGGATCAAACTCAGGTCCTTGAGCTTGCAAGGCAGGTGGCAAAACCACTGAGCTAAATCCCTGGCCCCTGTGTGCTTTTTAAAACATGCATTAGCTATTGCAGTAACCCTTTGAGAGGTCTCATTATCATCTTCACTTTAATAACAGAGAAAGTTGGGCACAAAGAAGTTCTGCCAGGGCCCGTGTTTCCCAAGGAGTAAAAGACAGCGTCATTACTTGAATGCACAGGACACTTTCCAGACTCTCAGAGTGCTGTAGCCCTCAGTCTCAGATCTCCTCTTCAGAGTTGCTTTGCTGGGGGTTGGAGTCTATGTTGATAACAGCTGTAACACCGCCTTTTGCTTGCATGCATCTCTCTCACTCTGCTGCAGTCTCTGAAGCTCTGAGTTTGGTCAGATGGATGCAATGAGTAGATATGAGCTGAGCTGAGTTACCTCCAGTTAAACCTATCTGAGAGCATGAGCATCGGTCTGTGTGGGTCAAAAATCTTGCCTCCATGGTGATACTGAAATGTAACTACACAAAATACTTGACCTTTTATGGGTTTGTTGAGAACGTTAAGCTGCACTCACCTTAAACATAAGTGCATATTTGTAACGTGCATTGAGTGGATGTGAGCTCTTAATAAACTCAGACGATCTGATTTGGGAGATATATTTATTGCAAATGCATGAGCTCAGACAAACACACCATCTTTCTGCACCTCATTTTGTTCATTACACATGTGCCATTTTGGCCATGCCATCGATAAGGAAGGACCCTTTAGCTTCAACAATCTAATAATATAGATTATTTATTCCTTGCTTTTTTGGGGGTTCAAATCTCTGCCTTAGATCAGAGGACCATGAAGGACAAAGAAAATTATAAAATAACAAAATACTTATATATTTCAGTGCAATCGCTTTTCCATTCCCATCTACTCCTTTCTTTCTCACTGCTGCAGAAAACTTGACTTTCCCATGGCCAATAGCACAGAGGTGAAGGACTTCATCCTGGATGGTCTAACCAGTGCCGTGGAGCTCCAGGTTCCCCTCTTTCTCATGTCCACCCTCATTTACCTCATCAGCTTTTTGGGGAACCTGGGGATGCTCCTGCTGATTCTCCTGGACCCTCGTCTGCGCACTCCCATGTACTTTTTCCTCAGTAACCTTTCTTTGGCGGACTTTGGATACTCCTCAGCTGTCACGCCCAGAGTGATGGCTGGGATCCTTCTCAAAGACAAGGTTATCTCTTACAATGCATGTGCTGCTCAAATGTTCTTTTTTGTAGTCTTTGTTTCTGTGGAGAATGCCACCTTGGCATTAATGGCTTATGACCGCTATGTAGCAGTGTGTAAACCCTTGCATTACCCCACTGTCATGTCCAAGAGCATGTGTGTGCAGCTGGTCCTAGGCTCCTACTTCTGTGGTTTCCTGGATGCCTCCATTCACACTGGGGGTACCTTCAGTCTCTCCTTCTGTGAGGCCAATGTGGTCCATCACTTTTTCTGTGATGTTCCAGCCGTCAGGGTGCTCTCTTGTTCAGATAAACACATTATTGAGATGGTTCTTATTTTCCTTACAAGTTTCAATGTCTTTGGTGCTCTTCTAGTTGTACTGATTTCCTACCTGTTCATATTTATCACCATCTTGAAGATGCACTCTGGTAAGGGGTATCAGAAGGCTCTGTCCACCTGTGCCTCCCACTTCACTGCAGTCTCCATCTTCTATGGGACCATCATTTTCATGTACATACAGCCCAGCTCCCATCACTCCATGGACACCGACAAGATGGCATCCGTATTCTACACCATGGTGATCCCCATGCTGAACCCACTGGTCTACAGCCTGAGGAACAAGGAGGTCAAGAGTGCATTCAAAAAGATTTCTGAGAAGGCCAAATCATCTCTAGTATTGAAGTTTTAATGCTGTGTGGTGCACAATAAACTAATTTTGAGTGCCTTACATAATTTTCATTCTTATTTTAAATCTCCAAATTATATTTATTTCCTGAAGTCATATTTTTATTGCTTCACTCTATTGTCTAGTAAAAAAATATCTGAATGACAATGGTTCAAGGTTGGCATAAGATGCTTTGGATTTTGCTTGTCAAAAACCTTACTAAATGCATTTGTTTTACATGCATTAATTGCACATATTAATTGGGTTCAGTGTGAACTTTCAGTATATCCATACAGGATTCACTGGTCAAATCCAGCCTCCCTGTACCTACTCTCTCCAAACCCATTCTCAGCCTCTATTAATTACTATCCTATGTTCAGTATTCTACATTTTTAAGCTTCCATATGAGCAAGCACATGTGGTACTTTTCTTTATCTCTTCTAACAGAATGTTTTCTAGTTTCATCCATTTTGCTGCAGATAACAGGATGTAATTATTCTTTGTGGATCAGTGTATCCCACTGGGTATACATAGCACTTTTACATCCACTCATCTGTTGATGGGCGCCTACACTGATTTCATGTCTTACCTATTGTGAATCCTGCAGAAGTAAACAGGGGACTGCAGGTGTTTAGTTGGGACACTGATTTCTCTTCCTTTGTCTCTGTACGCAGAAGTTGGTTGGCTGGGTCACGTGGAAGACCCACTTTGACGTTAATGAATGTAGCTCAGTGGTAAGTGCTTGCCAGCAAGCACAGAACCCTGGGTTCAATCTCTACAAAATGAAAAAGAAAGATGTATTTTTACTGAGGTAACTCTCTACTCTTGTATATAACCATTGTACTAATTTACATTACTACCAAGAGTGTTTGACAGCTCCTTTTTCTTATTTTTAGTGTTTAAATAGTAGTCATGCTAATTGGAATGAGGTGATATTTTATGGTAGTAGATTTGCATTTGCCTGATAGCTAAGGATTTTTCCAATGTATTCTTGTTCATTTGTACTTCTTTTTAGAGGATTGTCTATTTAGATTATTTGCCTATTTAAAAATTGGATTTTTTGCTGTTGTTAATTGTTCCATATTCATTTCCTCTATCACATGGCATTGCAAACATATGTTTCAAATAATGATACAAACAATTCCATGAACAGAAGCCCAAGAATATATATATGTTCCATGTGGGTGCATACATCATAGGGATGGATGGAATGATTCTTTGTAATATAAGTATATCCACTAAAACACTAAATAGTCATGCAACAAAGTAAATGAAGAATGGATTGTTTATTATAAAAACAGTATAAAATCTTATTAGAATACAAATAATATCTAACTTTATTTCTTTAGTTGAATAACATAATAGTTTTGTGTTTTGTTTTTTGTGCACGTGGGGTTTTTTTTTTTGAGACCAGATCTCAGTATGCAGTCCAGGTGGGCCTTGAACTCATTATGTAGCTCAGGCTGGCCTCAAACCTGCAGTGATCCTCCTGCCTCAGCCTGCCAAGTGTTGGCATTACACATGAGCACCCCCATGCCTGGCTCTTATAATAGTCTTAATAGAAGAAAAATATAATTTTTCAAATGTAAATCTAAATGAATGTGCTTTTATTGGCACATTTTATTTAGGAGATTTAACTAGCACATCTTAAGCCATATTTTTGTCTTGACTGAGTCCCTTTGGTGAGACCAACGTATTTGCATTATAGTTTTCAAAAAGATAAAAACCTAAAGCATGAGAAAAGTGGAGGAAAAATAGAAGCATTTCCAATTTATTCATTATGCCAACTAAGTTACACATGGCTTAAGAACACACAGGCAATATATATAGGGATTTTTGCTAAAAGAGTAATCATTAGGTGCTCTTGGCAAATAAAGGAGGGTAGTTATGTGAGCTGATGGATATGTTGATTTTCTTGATTATAGTAAACATTTCCTTATGTAAATCTGTGTCAAAACAACTTGCTGTACATCTTACTGTATACAATAAAAATATGCAACAAATGCCCACAACGTATGTTTCTGCCTTCAGATGCTGTGAAATTGTTCATGCTGCCAATTTGCTCATACTTTGGTTAAGTTACCTCCTCTCTGTCACTGTCCAGCTTCTCCATCTTCCTTCATCCTGATGAAATACTACTTCGCAGTAAAAAGATTACACTATTGACCACGATAGCAATACTGACGGATCTCAGATACATTCCACGAAGTAGAAGAAGCAAGATGCAAAGCGTCTTTCAAAGGCAAACAGGATGAACAGAAGAGTCATGTGGTTTCCAGGGGACATGGTGGCAGATGGGGTTAACCATGGAGTCTTGGGTTTTTATTTAGATGAGGGAAATATCCCAGATCTTGTTTGTGGTAGTGGTTACATCACCATGCACACTTGACCAAATTCTTATAAATAAACCCCAAAAGGCATGAACCTTCCTGTTTGTAAGTTATGCATTAATTACATGATAAATGGAAAATGAGCAATACAAAAACACCTGTGGATACCGAACCTACTCAGCAAGGTCCCACGGGCAGTGCAGTCGCTCCTTCCATAGCAGAGCCTGATGAGAGCTGCAGATGCTGTCAAGCGAGTTGTCTCCAGAGAGTGCCATTCCCTACAATCCCCCAGGCTCCCCTGCACTGGGCCCTCAAATCCCAACAGGACCCTATACGGTGTATTTTAAGGGACAAGAATGTGTGCTGGGGCTCTAGAATAGGTGATAGCTTCAAGAATCGAACCAGGTTCTTGGCTTCAGTTAGTGTTTCCCCCCATTTTCTTTGGAAAACATGGAATCCTTTGAGCAGCATCTATGTGAGAAACTTCTCCAATAGGACTTTTGCATTATTCCATGGTTGCATTTCTGATTTTAGGCTTTCTACCTAGGATTGATTATCCTTTCTTCTCCAGCAGCAAGGTAAGCTTCTGCATTCCATACACACATTCAATTAAACCTTCAAAAGCCATTTTATTGAGGTACTGTTGGCATGCAAATAACTGAGCACACATTTTTAATTCATGCAAAAGCAGAGTGACAGCTACAATACCCTGTGTTATTTGAACACAGAAATATATGTTTTGAATATTTTTTGTAAAGCTGTTACTTGAGTCTGGCAGCATGAATGTCAAAACTTCCAGTAGCAGGGAATGTAGTGATCCTTAGGAAATATACTGCTTCCCTAAACAAGAGGAACAAAAGTAAGATAGCTAATGGTCTGTTTAAATTTTGTTGTTGTTGTTTGTTTGTTGAGACAGGGTTTCATATGTAGTTCAGACTGGCCCTGAACTCACTATGCAGTTCAGTACACTATGTAGTTGAACTCAGGATAATCCTCCTGCCTCAGCCTGCTGAGTACTGGGATTATAAGCATTCACCACCACACCTGGCCCTAAGTTTTAATTTTATCTTGTTTACTGTCATTCTTCTACTGGAAGTAAGACAGACAGACATAGATACAGTAGTGTGAAGTGATAGTTCTTTAAATTACAAAGGGAACTACATGAATCAGCAAGACCTGAACTACATTGTAACCTTTTCTCCATCACCCACCCCTCTGATCACTAACATGCCCTACCATGCTGACAGGGAGGCAGTGAACAGTGCAGAGCGTGATCAGGTTAAATCTGGATTTCAATCTTGAATCTTGGATGCTTTTTATGAGTTGCATAGTTGCAGAATATCACCTAGATTTTCAACTCTCTAATTAACACAATTATAAATAATAGTGCCTACCACATACGTTCACACCTTTATGTGCAAAGCTCTTAGCATGAGTTATAGAACAGTATTTCCCAGAAGTGGTTATGTGCATTCAGGCTGGCAAATGCAATGCTTTCACGGGCTAAGCTTATAAACTGCAGTGTGAAAGACAATTGAGGATAGCACGGTAGTTAGCAGAGGATAGATGGCTTTTCCAATTTAAAATACACTTCCTACACAAGCACTAACTCAAATAGTATTTTTTCAAGTGGCGCTTTCCACTAACTCAGAGTCTCAGCCGGAAGCTAACACATGAACAACACACTTTAAATCCTAAGTAACTATATTCAGCGAAGGAGTGAAAATCATAAGGGAAAGAATGAGTTTAATGTAAATGTATTGTATACCTAAAATGTACCAATAAAAAAATTTAAGCCAAAAAAAAAAGACAAGAAGACTCTTTTAAGCCAGGCTAAGATATGGATTTCAAGAAATTAAATGCATGAGATGCTCAGCAGAGCAGCTGATCGTGGGGATGGATTAAGGATAGAATGAGAATAGTAACTGGTCATCTCAGTGCTGCTCATGTGAGAGCAAAGGGAAAATGAAGACAAGGCTTCCCAGTGTACCCACATATGAAACTGTGGACGGGTATTAAGCAGGCACCGAGACCATTATTCCATTCCAATATCTCATCACAGCCAACACTCACCAGGGTGGACTAAACATCCAGTGCTTTACTCCTAGTTTTAAAAATGTGTTATTTTATCAGTTCTCAAAATAATACCTTGACAGTAGGTCTCATTGGTAGTTTCATTTTGCAGATGGAATAAATGAAGCTCAGGGAAGTTGGGGGAGAGCAGTGGCACCCACAGTGGTGGGGCCATATGCATGTCCTCCCGGAGCACCAACTCTGGGGTGGATTTGTATCTTTCTCTTAGAACTGTCTGTGATGCTGAGCTCTCCCAGGGCACCAGTTATCCTAAACTAGATGGACGGGATGCTCTCTCCTTTAACTTTGAAGGGATGGTCTTGCAGGACATAGTAATCTAGGCTGACAATTATTTTCTTGCAGGGGTTGAAGAAGTTTGTTGCAAGCCCCCTCCTGGCCTTTAACGTTTCTGTTGAGAAATCAGTAGTTCTTCTTATGGGCTTGGTCCTGTGTGTGATTTGGCACTTCTTCTAGCACCTTTCACTATCCTTTCTTTGATCTGGATTTCTGAATTTCAACTATGATGTGTTATGGAAGGATCCGCTCTGCTTGTGTGTATTTGGGGTTCCAAATGCCTCCTTTACCTGAGTATCCACCTCATTCTTCAGCTTTGTGAAGTTT